AAAAAGAATATCTTGAATTAAACTATGTCTGCCTCGGATAAGGAAATAGAGATAAATAGAATTTTCGAGTAATATTTTTTGAAAGGCTATTAAAATTTGTAAAAATGCATTTTAAATTAAAATTAATGAAGTATAGAACTCTCTTTTGAGAAGCAAATTCTCAGCCGAAAGAATACCTAATTAAATAACACAATTCTAATTATACTTAGCCTCAAATCAAAACCTTGACCTACTAGCCTAATATAGTTATTTGCAGGGCTCGAAAAAACTTAGAAATTTTACCCGTCCCCGAGGACGGCTTGTCCAACAATATACCCGTCCTCCTTTGAAACTAACCAGTCGCTTCTAAATAAATAAAAAAATTTAATTTTCTCTTATTTATTACAAACATTTATATAAATTGCACAATGAATTCGTAGTTACTAGGATTACATTACACAGTAATAAAAGAAATACCAGGTTATTAATATTAACCCAGTATTTCTCTTATGTAATAATTTATTTTTATTATGAAATAATTTAAATGACCAATGGTCAAGTTATCTGGAATGTCAATTTATCCTAGGGTACTGCGTTTTTTTAATGAAATAAATATGACGTTTGCAGTTCCACAATCAAGCCAAATGAATTACAGAGGTTTCTGCACAAAAATTTGAAAGGGGTTTTCCATTTAGGTAGATGTTCATCATTGCGTTTAACGCTTCTTGTTTAAGACCAGTACGTAAAGTGTGTTTTTTTCTTCTTTTTTATAATAAGTTCATAGTTGAAAAAGCCCTTTCAACCGCTGCAGAACTCAAAGACAGAGATCATCAATTCCACCATGCGCAGTATGTTGAAGTATCGTGGGTCATTTCGCTGCATTAGGTCTTTATAAATAGCTTGGGCTCGGAGGGCTGAAGTTTTCTGGTGTTTAGCGATGTTATGTATCTTAAATTTTAATGACACCCATTCATGAGAGAAATTTTCTTTATCTACTCCTTCAAAAAAGATTGTAAGATAACAAAAATTGAAAATGTATCACTAACATTAACGGGAAAATGGCCGTCCGCGCGGACGTCGGTTTCGAGAAGTTCGTTGTCCGCTGGGAATTTTTGACCGCCTAGGACGGGGGGACGGGCGGTTTTTCGAGCCCTGGTTATTTGAGTCAGTTTATAACGATAAGCCTGAAATTGAATTTATATTTTAATGGAAGTTAACGTAGAAAATAGCTCAGATTGAAAAGTACAAATGCTTCAATTGTTTTGTAATGTTAATGATATTGAAATGTTTTACTATTTTTTTTACAGCTCTCTATGGCATACTTTTTAGATCTGATGAAGAAGCAGCGTTTTCCAACTACAGATTATGGGAATCATTAGGATTCGCTATAGCATTTTTATGTAGCAGTTTACTCTGTGTGACACCTAAAATATATATTGTTGTTATTATTCTTGTGATTGGAATGATGGGATACATAACAGTTGAAATTTTGGTATATTTTGAACGAAAAAACTCCTCTTAATTATATTAATATTATGATGAAAAATGAATGGCCAACGATTTGGAGAATAATTTAAAAAAAAAAAAAAGATAAGAAGGAGATGGAAGTTAACAGTTTTCAGCATTCTGCTTAAGGAATTAGTTTTATTCTCACCCAAAATTGGTAACAAAGCCACTAAGTTCGTCTTCAGATGGCGCTAAAAGCTGAAAAAATAATGAAATAATTTCTGCTGCATGCCAAACCGGTCAGTTGAAATATTTGCTCGGGCGTCTCTTTAGACTTTACCATGTTGTTTAAAAACTTTGCTTATCATTTTATAGTGGTCTGCGCCATCTGTTGGGGATCTTTATAACTATTTCCTTAACTGAATTCATTGTACCCTTAGCAAATCGCAGCAAACTGAACATTTTTTGAAATTTTTTTTCGTTTTTTCTATTGTTCTTTAAAATCACTGGTTATTTGTGGGACATTCAGTAACGAGTAACAATTTAGTTAATGCAAATGAAATCAGATTAATTAAGTAAATGAACTGAAATTTCAAACTGTATCATTATGGATTTTACGGATAAATGTAGCATTTTTTTTACAGTGTAGATCTTAAGTAAAATTTTTTAATTTGTATCTGAAACCAATAGTAGCAATTTTGTAGCAAAACTATAATTATTTATATCCAATAAAACTGTTCTATGTAGAAACACTTAGAAATCACGCTACTTTTGCCGTTTTTTTCTGGAAATAAAAGAGCAATGATAAATTAAATAAATCAAAATACGATTTTATTCTGTCTCAACAATTGTTGTTTTTCAAGTCTCCGAGTTAATCCTGCCCAATTTTATTCTAACAAGCCATTTTGAATAAATTGCGACAATATTCTTCTGAAGAAATGGAAATTATATCCGCATTAATACGATCACGAATATCAAATAAATTTGTCTGTCTCCAAAATAATGGGTTGAAGTAGTCGACAAATCGGAAAATTATAGCAGTGCTGCTTTTTGTTGCTTAACAAGTAAGATTCCTGCTTTCTTTTATATTTTTCGTTAAATTTTGTTAAATAATTTGAAACGAAATAAATTTACAGATCCAGTAAGACACGCAAATGTATAAAAAAAAACTGCTTTACTGATGGCTTATAATTTCATTAAAAAATGATTACTTTAAAAGTTTTTGAAAGAAAAATGTTTATCGGCACCATTTTTTTCTGAAACTTTTAAAATATTTTAAAAATCTTCTAGAAATCATCTCATCATAATTGATATTTTAAATAAAGTGATGCAATATTCGTAAATAACAGCAAAATAATCGCTTTTTTATCATGCAGAATAATATAGATACATAATATTTAATGATACTTAATACTTGGTATCGCGCGGGGGAGAAGTGGTTAAAAAATTGTGGAAAGAAAAAAATTAAAGAGCTAAGGAAAAAAAAAGAATTTTCTATTCACTTTGATGAAAGATGAGTGACAATTTTCACTTTTGAATTCCGACACAAGATATGAATAGCTGTAGGATTCGAAAATTTGGATTATTCTTTATACTTATGCAAATATTTTCTGAATTAGCAAAAAAAAAAAAAAAACATTAAATTTCTGAAATTAAGAAAGTAGTCAACAGTTATTTAAGCTAAAGAGAATTTAAAAATATTCAAGTCATTTTCTTTAATTGCCTGGAATCTAATTCAAAAAATATTTAAAAGAAAATATTAAAAAGAAAACATAAAAATTTCAAAAGATTCCGATTTCCTTTACTTGGTTTCAGGCTCTTTTAGGATAACCAAAGTATTATTATATAAAATTCCAACTGCAGTTATATAAATTTTTAATAACATACAATTATTTGTGGATAATTTTTATTAATCTTACATACGCAAAATTTACTATACACGTTTTAAATTAAGTATAATTATTAGAGTCTCTATTAGAGTAACTACGTTGTGCACGGAGATAGATTTGAATTAATGCTGATTGTGGTGTAGATTACCTCAGTAAATTCTGAGACTAAGATAAATCATACTTATAATCTATTAGATTGATGTATAAGACTAATGTATAAGAATTACGTATAATGTATAAGATTAATGTGCAATGTATAAGACTAATGTATAATGTATAAGACTAATGTGTAATACTATCTAATTAAATTTCTAAATGGTATTTGTACACTGAGCAAAAAAAAGGAAAAAAAATAGTGCGTGGAGTCCCTCCGCGCGGAAGAAGTTAAACTTCGCAACCTGCGACGTTAATTGTAGAAGAATCAGCAGTCGTAGAAGGATCACTAGTTCTATTCAACGACTCTTTTTCCTGCTCCGCTCGCTTCCGTGCTCTGTAATCACGGTAATATTGTGCATTTTTCCCTCGTGGACCTCTTGAACCAGTGGAAGTGCTTGTGGTTGCCTCATCGTCTCGCCCTGGAAAATGTATTTGTATTAATAATGTATGTGAATGCGTCATAATGTAATTTCAGAAGAGAAAACCTAACAATCAATTGATATTCACAAGAGACGTACCTTGACATAACCTTAAATCCGTCGCATTGTCCGTGGGATTGTTTTCACTCATTTTTTACAATTGTTATCCACTAAATTTGAAAATAAAAAGTACTTCCCTATTAAATGATATATGCATCGAAACAAACTAAAAAAATATTTATAGAAAAACAATACTTTTATAACTTTTATTATTTTAATGCTAGTGAGAACTAAAACAATATGGAAATGTATGAGGGAAAACTGGATCCTACTACGTGATTTCCCGGTCAATAAAAATGTAGCGTTAAACGTTTAACACAACCTTGTTGGAAGTCGCATAAGAAGTATAACTTCAAAAAAAGAGATTTTCTACATAACTTATGATTTAATGATCGGTTATCTTCACGTACTAGAACTCAATATTTATGGTTGACTGGGGTGACCTCAAGATGTTAGAAGTTACAAAATCGGATTCGAATCGGATTCGACGGATTTGAATTCCTGACCCTCAAAACATGGGGGTCAATCGCAATCTGGGATATATGGTCCACAATAGTTTGGTGAGGAGAACGGTTGAAAATTTGAACCCCTTAATGTTAATAACATTTTTTGCGTAATTCGTATCTCGAGAGCTTTTTAAGTATATCGAAAATTTTTACACACAATTACAAAATTCGTAATTCAAGTATAATTTCAAGGAAAAAGTAATTTTTACTAATCATTTATTGTTTTGCGTTATTTCACTTAATAATTTGTAAGATATAAACATTTTTACATCATTTTGAAGAATGCTATAGATAGGTATAGATAAACATAATAGGACGAAATCGGCCGAATAGTTCAAGAGAAATCGAATTTTTGAAAAAAGAATTTTTTAAATTCGATTTCTTATTATTTTATTCGAACATTTTCGTACAAATTTTATATTTTATTTGAATTATATTTTTTAAATGATGTAAAAAATTTGTACACCTTACAGTTCAAATATTTTTCAGTCAATTATACATAAAATAATAAATAGATATAAATTTTTATTTAGGGAATTATTTTTGGGTAAATACATTTTTTATTTGTGTGCGCAAGTTTTTCGATTTGTTTGCTCTCCATATTTCGAGGGTTAGAAATCCAATTTCGTCGAATAAAAGGAGTTTTTATTCGAAGAAAGTTTTTGTGCTTGATTTCGTAGCTTAAAATATCATCTGCACCAATTAATTAGCTATCAATTTAAAGGTCACACCTTCAAACAATAAAAATTGAGACCTAAAACGAGAAGATTCGATCCTTAGATCAAAAGTTATTCAGGGTGTTCCATTTTTTTAGCGCGTTGCACATGATACTAAATGATTATACATTACGTTTAAAAAAAAGGAAATTTTTAACAATCTCAATTGTTAAAAACATATATAAACTTTTTAAACGATAAATGACATTTCTTTTTTTTAAAAAAATACATTTAAAATGATATGAAATGAAGATTTTAATAGTTCACTTTGGAAAAATAAATAATTCTAAAAATATTTATTCAAATTTATTAACTGTTCAACATAAATATTTAAACATTATTTCTTTTTAAATTATATAATGTTCAAAAATAAATTCAAATGGAGTTTTAGATTATTTTGTTCATAAATATGAATATATATATTTTTTAATTATTAAACTTAATTGCTTTGCTGTACTTCATTTAACATCATTCATAATGAAAAAGAATATTACAGATTTCTCGCATCATCTCATTTAATGAATTCATACTACAACTCATTGATTTAATATAATGGCTTTCGTGTAAATGACTTTAAATGAATCATAAATGTCTGTGCTCATTTTACTTTCATATTGTGTAAAAGATTTTAAATGAATCGTTAAAAGTCTGAGATCATTTTACATGCATTGTTCAGTTTTATACTGATTTGTAAATATAGTGACTTGCAGTATGTGATATATATATATTTCCATGTTATCTATACTTTATACGCTGTTTTTATATCTTTACATTTTTATATTTATGCCAACATTATATCATCTGTTATATCATTTTATATTTGAATCTGAACAATTCACATTTTTCAAGACTTGTCTCATTCCTCCAATTTAAAAATGTGTGGTATGTATTGTTCGCAAAATAAAAAACAGAATGACTTTTAATCCAATAATTAGATCTTCACGTTCTAGGTCTTCTCAATCTCAATGGTTCAAGGAGGTGAACTCAAATATGCTAATTAATTAATGCTGTTAGAGGTTGTGAAAAATGGTGCGAGAAATGTAATATGGTGAACAAGAAGTGCCGGTTTATTAAATTGTCAAAATATTAGATGACGTATTTGTAGATATTTAAATTAGATAAGTGCTAATACATTACGCCAAAGAAAAAATATGAAAACCATAACTCAGATAACTTAAATTGATTGGTTTGGAAATATTAGTTTGTGGTGATGAAAAGTTAGAAGGTAAAAATTTATATTTTGAGTATGTAGCATCAAATAGTTTCACGTTCTGAAATGACTTTGATTGGAAATTTTAAAAGAAAAGTTGAAATAAGAAAAATTGCATTAGAAACAAAACAGTTTATGGAAAAAGACACTTAAAAAGAAAATTAAATGATCTTAGAAACTTTATAAAAGGATAAGGGCTAAAAAATTTAGAAAGTGATCAAATAAATTTCGAAACTTTAAAAGATGATTGAATTATTGATGTTTAGTCACAAAATAATTTAGAAACTGCATTCCAGTCTCAAACTGCTACCTATTGAGCAATATAGAACGATCAAAAGATAGCAAAACGAAAAGCAGTAAAAATATTAAAATGATTAAGATTATCGGTGTTAATTAAGATTAAGATAATTAAGATTTTTATTGTATAATCATCGTTGAACAACCGACCCAATTTTATGGGCATACGACAACTAATGTTGAACTCCGTAGTCTTGTAATTTTGAACCCAATCCAGAAGACAAGGGAACTCCTGGATCGAGTATTGGGAGAAATTTGCCTTCATGGAGGACTTTTTGATGAAGCTAACCCGCATTTGCGTTACATGGAGAGAAAGACAACGAGAACCTCCCGCGGTTAGTCTGATGGCAAGGGGATTCTAACCCATGATCCGTCTACCACTGAGGATATTTCACGTCAGCACAGTGGACTGGGATTCGAACCCGGTTCGCCTCATTGAAGGGCGAACGCTCTATCCCTTGAGCCATTGCGGCTCAGATTATTAAGATAATTAAGATTATCGGTATTTTCTGATAAATAGAAGAGTGATTATCCTTGATGACGCCCGGTGACTGAGTGGTAGCCCTTCGCGCTCTTGTGCC